CCCCCCCCCCGAATAGCCGATGAAAATTAGAGCCATTAAAAGTTATAATGCCTTTGTCGAGGCACCCCTTCCTTTACGCACGTTTGTTTTTCCAGTGTACTAAATGATTCGAGGCCTTTGATCGGCTAGGTGCGTCTGGTGACGGTCCGGCCGCATGCCCTCCAGCCCTGACGCGCCATGGGACCCCACCGGAAGCGGTTTCGAATCGAAGCGCAGCCAAGGTGGGTGCTTCCCACGCCCCGTCCAGCAGGGGCACGCTCCTGGACAAGGTCCAAAGGTAACTTGTGTGAAACATTTTAGATAGTCTCCAAGACTATCTCTAGAATAGAAGGAAAAGCAAGTTTCTGTACCGGCTCTGGTATAGTGAACAGATCTGCATGGAGGTCCATTTCAATTTATTAAGGCTAAATTGCAGGAACAACTTTACAGAATTCTCACGTGACAGTAAGCACAGTACAATGTGAAAAAGCTTCTTACCAAGAAAAGATAACAAATATGAAGAAAATCCATTGTACCTTGCTAATTAGGAAACAAAGAATATACCAAAACCAAGCTAAATTCTACGCATACATGATTCCCAATTGCAATTTATATGTGAATCCACACATGACTGGAGTCAATAGTGTGGTTCTCCGGGGAGGGACATTTGTTTGGGTCGTGCGAGAAGAGACCAAGCTTCCCACGAAGACAAGCATCCCCTCGTACTTGGGGATGGCAGTCAAGTGGACACACGTCGCAAACGTTATCGTCACAACTATCACCATCGCCACAGACAGAGGGATTTTGGACGAGAATGTGGAGCAGGGGGTTAGCTGCGAGGGCCTTCTTCAGCGAGTCGCTGTGCATGTGCAGCCAGGCGTGAATACAACCCTTGAATAAGGGGTTAACTACTGGTTCTTGCGACAGCTCGAGGAGCCGTAGCGTGGGTGCAGAGGCGGGCGTGAGCCCCAGCAGCAGTTCGTCCATCTTGTCAGCATTGCACGGCCGCAACATACATGAGTTCAGGAAGCTCAGCACTCTCAGGGCTGGCAGCCGGGGCAGTGCGCCGAACAGCGGCTGCAGTTCGCCATAGAAGTTGTCAATGGTCAGTCGCTCGACGAGGGATCGTCCGGACGACGCTAGGGCTCTTGGTAGGGACTTCATATCACAGTAGTCAAGCCAGGTGTAGTCTAAGGAAACGACGCGAAGCTGGTTGGCCTGGCGAAAGAATGCCACGGCTCCCGCAATGGCACCCTCCTCCAGCGACACGCCGAGGGACACGTCCGCGAGCATCTTGCACGCGGCCAAGACCTCCATCCCAGGGAAGACTAGGCACTGGAGCTTCCGCAGTCTGGGCATGCGGAGAAGCAGGGCGGCCGTGTCTGCGCTGATGCTGTGGCGGGAGTCAACGCTAAAATCAACCTCCTCCAGGGTAGCGGCGTGACCGGCCAGCAGGGTGTTAAAGAAGCTTTCCGCATCCTTGAAGGTTTCGCACCGAAAACACTTGAGGGAGGACCTGGGCGGCCCGTAGAGAACAGGGCCCATAGCATAGGGCTTAGATGATATAAAAAGGTCAAGCGACTCCAAGACAGAGGAACACGCCACTAAGGTCTTCAACAACACGTCGAACCTTCCTTGGGATTTGGGCCACGCCATTAGTTTGACACTCCGGAGACGGCCGAGTGCCTCCTGGTTGCGGATCACCAGGGCGATAGCTGCATAATCATTGTCTTCAGGAAACAGGTCCAAATGCCTCACGGCACATGTCGTCGCCATAAACGCCGAGTTGTGAAAATGCTTCTTGCCGTCACGCCCGTAAACGGCCGCGTCCAGGCAGGGCGCCAGGCGCAGCACCGCGCACCCGCAGGTGTCATGGAGCCGTCGGTGGCGCCACGCGTCCGGGTGCAGGGCGAGGCCGCCGAGACGCTTGCACACCAGCCGGAGGGCGAAGAGGTAAGCAATGTCCAGGAGCTGCATCACCACCAGCAGCACGTCGTCCGGCAGCTGGGCCAAGGTCAGCTGCTCCGAGGACATGGCTGCTACTGTGTTGCCACTCATGGACTCTAGAGAAAGAACGGCGTCGACGCGTCAGAGAGTAAACAACGCCCATCTCGTCGAGCCCGAGTACTGGCTACACCGCAGCCCGGCTTACCTTCTGCTGTAGTACGGCTGAGACGTGCTTGACGACCTTCTTGTACGCACGGCAACGAACGGACACTCCGTGACCTGGCCCGCCCGAGGTGAATGAGGGCTTGGGTCTAGTCAGCTCTCAGGGCTCTCGGTCCAGACTGGACTGGGGAGGACTGGGCCGGACTGGGCGCTGGGCGCGTTCTCTGCCGCTCCGTCGCCGGCGAGACCGCGCACGAGCGGGGACCAGCGCTAGCGGCCAGGGCCACGCCACGCCACGCGCTGCGCATCTCGGCAACTCTCATTTAAAGGTCGAAGAATTTTCACTGCGCTTGCTTCGTATCAATACATCGTTGGGATAACGTTCTGATCAAGTAATGGGGTGTTGTAGATGAGAGCGTGTTTACAGCAAAGTTACGGGAAATCGGAACGCTGATAGTTGTCAAGGAACGAATCTCCTGCGCCTCGCTGGTCATAGCATCTGAAGTCAGGCATCAACGGACGGGTCGGCCAGTGCAGTGCGATAAATGGAACCACATACCTTCATTTAATAAGGAAGGCACATTATTAGCCAGTCCTCAAGACTGTCGCTGCCAGAAGGTAAAGTGGAAAGGGGGGGGGGATTTACTGTGGGTTGCCTATTTTCAGGGGCTTTGTTGGTCAAATAAATTGTCTTACTACTAGGCCCGGAGGGGGGGGGGGTGTTCGAGATGGCTGTTATAACGGCTAATGCCGCCATTTTTTTTAAGGGTGCTCGAAAAAAAATTACATTACAATGAATTTTTTCTCAATTGAGGCAGATAACTGCCTCCTATAAAATAACCTACACGACTATTTTTTTTTTATCCCTCGAGGTTCGCGCTTCACACGCATTTGGCCTGGTCAACATCACTCGATGATTTCCAGGCAAGGGGGACGGTCCGGCTACGGCCCACTCGACGACAAGCGAGGTGAGAGGATCTGCTCGATACGTGCTCGGTGTCGAGTTGCAAAGACGTCTGGGTGGCTTGCCCCCTCCCCGCCCCTTCCCGTCCCGTCCGGCGGCCCCGCCATGGCCCAGTCCCCTTCTTGGAGCGACAGGACAAGCTCAATCTCAAGAAACCGCGACTAAACGTCGAAAAAGGCCCGACGATTGTCGACTACACACACACACAGACAAGTTTGAATCGGCTCCGTGCCAGAGGGAGCGTTTCGTTTCAACGCCGCCCGCACTCTGGCGCAAAAGAACCAAAACTAAGCAAACACACACTCATGCATTTCGTTTTCTTCCTCATTGTTCGTCGCCCGCCGCCGCGGATTCCGCGGTTTCGAAGCCCCTGAACGGCGTTGGAGCGCGGGGCACCGTGCCGATGTCGCGGTTGTTTTGCGCAGCTATGCAATACGGCGGGGCGGGGCGTGTCGAGGCGTGGCGCAGCGTATGGCTTTCTAATTCGAGCACCCCGCTCTGCACCAGCTCTGCCCTACAATGCGAATGGGAAAGAAGGGCGAAGGGCGACCCGGCAAAAATAATCAGAACTCGCGGCAACGCCACGCCACGTTATTGTGTTAGTGCTGTTGTCCAGACTCGGCCAGCTCCAACCTCTCACACTCACGACACGCAAAACACAGGTTCAAGAACAAGGAACGGACGATGACATGGAGCCAGCTGGGTAAAAATCTGCACTGTAAAATGCTTGCGAAACTATTTTGTGCATTGCAAATAATTTTGAAGCGTTGTAAAATGCTTTGCACTGCGAACTTTATCCTTTGCATTTGCGAAATAGTTCTTCGCACCCTCCGAAGAAAATTGTTCGTAACACTGCAAAGAATTTGTTCGTAACCTTGCAAACAATATCTTACAAATAAAATAGTTGCAAAGAAAATAGTTTGCAATGCAAACTTCCTTACAATGCTTCAAAATTCTCTGCAAGAATTTTGCAGTGTGCCTGCCTGCATTAGAGGTACGCACGCAAGACCCGTTTCCGTGGTCCATGAAACTTAATTTAGAGTAAGAACATATCTGGAAAATATTATTA